GCCGCCACCCTGGCCTAGCGGCCCCTCGCCCACACGCCCCTCCCTCAGACTCCGGCCTCCGGCCGCAAAGGAGACCGCGAGAGCGCCGCAAGCGCGGCCGCCGCTTCGCTTCACCTGGGAGGAGTACAGGAACGTCGAGCTGTCGAGACAGCCACAGACTCGGAGCCACCTCACTCAGTCCAAGCACTGAACAACGGCCCCGAGAGCTGCCTCAGCGCCCCCGACTGCCGCAGAATAGCGCGCTCATTGGCCAGGGGCGGCCCCGGATCTAGGCCCATTGGATAGCATCATTGTCGCTCTCAGGGGCCCGCCCTCCGAGCTCCGATTGGCTCCTTAGTGCTCTGTGGGGGCGTGTCCTAGAAATCCCAGCCCCTGCACATCTGGAATGAGAGGCTGAGCTGAGCTGTGAACCTGAAGCTGGATCTAGCAACTGCTGCTGACACAGATTCATGTTTGCATGAATAATACTGTGCAAGCATTACTAACATGCCTAATATATTAAAATAATTAATGACATTTGTTCTCTTGTCATGAGCCATTAATACTTATTAGTCATTCTTGTTGTCATTATAATGCCCTCGTACAAGACTTGTGCAAGATCCAGGACCATATTTAAGCACTTTGCTTTTTTGCAGTGGAAGAATAAACGCCTGGGATGCGGGTTTGAGAGCCAGTATTTCTGCTTGCAGACGAAATGGATTCTCTGAGCTCCTCTTCCCTCCAGAGTAAGAGTATTATTTCATAACTGAGCCTGTAATACAAACAACATAGCTATTCAGAATTTCGGTTATATTGAAGATTACAATTGCAAAATGTTCGTAAGATAGTCCTAAGCAGGAAAATCAGGTTATGAAGCAATACTTATAACAAGGTAGACTAGTTAGTTTAAATATACGGTATTAGAGGGGGTATAGGTCAGTGGAAGAACACTTGTCTAGCACATTCAAGACTCTGGGTTGGATCCCTAGCACTAGTTTAAAAAGAAAAAGAAAAAGAAATACCATAAATATTCAGTATATTCCATGTAATTTCAAACATTTCAAGGGAAAAAAAAAAAAACAAGGCACGGTGGTTCACGCCTGCGATTCCAGCAACTGAGGAGATTGAGGCTAGAGAATCATAAATTCTCAACAATTTAGCCAGAACTTGTATCAAAATTTAAAAGGGGGGTGAGGGGAGTAGGGATGGTAGCTCAGTGATAAAGTGCCCCTGCTGTCAATCCCTATTACAGCAATAAATAAATAAGTAAATAAGTAAGTAATAAATAAATAAGTCAAAACAGGCAAAGATGTTGCCGAAAGCTCCGTTCTTGTTTCCTATGCCAATCCAATAACAGGCTTTGAGGAAAAGGAAAAATCAGGTTTATTGCTTTGCTAGCAAAGGAGATACACAGGGAACTCCTACCCCAAAGGTTGTGATTCTGCCCATCAGCAGGAACTGGGGGGCTTTTTAAAAAATATTTTTTAAGTGGTCAATGGACCTTTATTTCATTTATTTACATGTCGTGCTAAGGATTAAACCCAGGGCCTCACACTTGCTAGGTAAACTCTCTACTGCTGAGTCACAGCCCCAGCCCCAGGGGGCCTTTTAAAGAGGTGACTCACCAGCAACATGCCACTTATTCTGTGTTCTCTAGTCATTTCTGACCTCTTCTGTATCATCCCCAAAGTCTGGATTACTTTGTTCCTATGGTGGGTGTGTACTCAGGGACTGATAACTCCGTTTAGAATGGGGAAGAAAGGTAATCCTATTCCTCTGAGATTAAGGAGGGGGAGAGATTAGGGAGGAGCAGAGAGAGAGAAAGAAAAAGAAACATGTTCATTTTAAAAATAAACTGTAGTGGCAGAGCAGCAAGTGTTATATTCAAAGCAGAAAGTGGACCACTGTTACAAAACAAATATGAGGTAAGAGAAGTCAGGAACTGGTTTCATTCAAAGAGTACAGACTTCAAGGGGATATGAGAAGGATTTCCAGATCGTGGAAGTATTCTATATCTCAGTGTGTAAAGTGATATACATATATTCATTAGTATATAAAAAAAAAAAAGAAAGACTGAGCCAAGCACAGTGGCACATGCCTGCAATCCCAGCAGCCCAGGAGGCTGAGTCAGGAGGATCCCGACTTCAAAGATAGCCTCAGCAATGGCAAGGTGCTAAGCAACTCTGTGAGACCTTGTCTCTAAAATACAAAATAGGGCTATGGATGTGGCTCAGTGGCCAAGTACTGGGGATTTCAATCCCTGGTACCAAAAAAAGAAAAACTAGACAGATCAGACTAGATAGGCAACATGAAGAATCTTTGTCTTCATATGTTCCCAAATGCTTTTCCATGTTTTTTGTTTGGTTTGATACCAGGGATTGAACTCAATATCACTTATCCGCTGAGGCACATCTCCCAGTTCTTTTTATTATTTATTTGTTTTGTTTTGTTTTGGTACTAGGGATTGAACTCAGGAGCACTTGACCGCTGAGCCACATCCCCAGCCCTATTTTGTATTTTATTTAGAGACGGTCTCACTGAGTTGCTTAGTGCTTCACCTTTGCTGAAGTAGCTTTGAACTCACCATTCTCGGGCCAGCCTCCCGAGCCACCAGGATTACAGGCGTGTACTACTGCACCCAGCATGTATTTATTTTGAGCAAGGATCTTGCTAAATGCTTAAGGGCCTTGCTAATTTGCAAGGATTTACAATCCTCATGCCTTGACCTCAAATTGTTGGGATTACAGCCATGGACCACCACACCCAGCTGTTTTCTGTTTTCACATTGAATTTCTCTGGTAACTAGGAAACAAAGAAAAAATAGAATTTTAAATGGAAAAAGTGGGGTGGGAGCCAGGCACCCTGTGCACACCTGTAATCCCAACAGTTTGGGAGGATAAGGCAGGAGGATCAGGAGTTCAAAGCCAGCTTCAGCAAAAGCTAGGTGCTAAGCAACCCAGTGAGACCCTGTCTCTAAATAAAATACAAAACAGGGCTGGGATGTGGCTCAGTGGTCAACTGCCTCTGAGTTCAAGCCCAGGTGCCCCCCACCAAAAAAAAAATAGTGTGTTGGAGATGGTAAAGCAATTGCCTAGCATATTTGAAGCCCTGGGTTAATTCCCCAGTATTGCAATAAAAGAGAATGGTGGGCTAGGGTTGTGGCTCAGTGGTGGAGTGTTATCTATTTTTCTATATATTTGAAATATTTCATAATTTAAAAAGAAAATTGTTTAAGTAATTCTATGCAATAATTATACACCTGCTGGGCACAGTGGCACAAGCCTGTAACCCCAGCTACACAAGAGGATGAGAGAGTAAAATCACAAAGTTGAGGACAGTCCTAGAAATTTAGTGAGACCTTGTCTCAAAATAAAAATAATTAGAGCTAGGGATGTAGCTCAGTGGTAGATTCCCCAAGGGCTCAATCACCAATACTGTGAAAAAAAAAAAAAAAAGAAATTCAATACTTGTGTTGACTTTCAATTGAATATTTTTCTCACATTTAGAAAAGGAATATTAAATGTAAATAAACATTGAGAGAAAAATTTTATGTATTCTGTTTGAGTTACTACATTTTAAAGAATTTTGTAAGAAAATGAAAAAGTAATTATTCCCTTCCTGTTTACTTCCTAGGAAAAAAATATGTTAATCCTCACAAGAGGAACTTTTGGGAAAAACTCTAACCAAAGATAAGTTATGTTTTTATACCATGATATTTGCTTTGTATGCTGTGTGTGTGTGTGTGTGTGTGTGTGTGTGTGTGTGTGTGTGTGTGTGGTGCTGGGGATGAAACCTAGTGCCTCACATGTGCTAGGCAAGCACTCTATCACTGAGCCACAACACCATCCATGTTTGTTTGTTTTGGTTTTTGGTGCTGGGGATTAAATCCAGTCTTTGTGAATACTAAACACATGCTCTACCATGGAACCAACCTGCCCCGTGTTCTGTTTGAATGACCTATGATATAAAACGTGTTTTTTCTTCTTTACCCCATTTAAAAATTTTTGATTTAATTTAGGGGAAAGGATACTGGGGTTTGAACCCAGGGATGCTTTACCACTCAGCCACATCCCTAGTCCTTTTTTATTTTTTACTTTATGACAGGGTCTTGCTAAATTGCTTAGAGGCATCCCAGCAACTCAGGAACTCAGGAGACTGAGACAGGAGGATGTGAGTTTAAAGCCAGTCTCAAAGGCTTAGTGAGGCCTTAAGCAACTCAGCAAGAACCTGTCTCTAAAAAAGATCTGAGGATGTGGCTCAGTGGTTGAGTGTTCCTGGGTTCAATCCCTGGTACGAAAAAAAAAGAAAGAAAGAAAAGAAAAAAGTAGACAACCACTAAAAGAATGGAGACAGATAATAAAAATTCCAACCCAGTATAGGGGGAGAGGTCATGTACCCCTATAATACTAGGGACTTGAGAGGATCACAAATTCAAGACCAGTTTAGGCAGTTTAGTGAACCTGTCTCAAAATAAAAACTAAAACATTCTGGGGATGTGGTGCAGTGGTTAAGCACTCCTGGGTTCCATCCCCCATACCCAACAAATCAAAACAAGTTGAAAGTGGAATTGTTACACCATCTACATCAATCATTGTAGAAGTCTTTTAATTTTATAAGAAACTGCCAAACTGTTTTCCAAAATATTCTGCAGCAATTAATATTCCCACCAGAAGTAGAGAGTTCTAGTTGCTCCATGTACTTTGCCAACTTGGTATAAATACATTTTGAATAAATAAACAACAGAATGGTGTCCTGGCTCTTGAGATCAACATTCTTTCCTTGAGTGGGTGACTCATAAGTTCCTCTGAATTCCAAGTTTATAAGGGCAGAGGAGACAAATGGTCTAGGGTAGCAAAGAATAAAGTAGAAATAATGATGATCTCAAACTTAGGATAAGCCTTTTTGGTGCTTTAGCTGTAGATGGACACAATACCTTTATTTTATTTTAATTTTTTTAATGTGGTGCTGAGGATCAAACCCTGTGCCTCACACATACCATTTTACAGTTACAATTTGTAATGTTAGGAGCTTTGTGCAGTTATCAAGAAAGTCCATTGTCTGAAGTTACTATTAGGCAGGCAGCTCCAGGCTTGATGAAACATTGTAGTTATCTAGCAAACAAGTTTTTCTATTTCCAGGAGCTATGTGCCTGCAATCAAGGTTGAAGCTTGATGAGGCTCTAACACAGAGGCATCTCAGGGCATTGCCATACCAGCTAGACAATGCACATATATTAGCTATATTATTAGATCCTAAGAGAGATTATAGGGCATTTTAAGGGTAGGA